GATGTCGCGGTTCGAATCGTGATCGGAATAAATTGTGTGGTTTAAGGATCTTCTGATTGAAAAAATGTGAATGACGTGTGTTATGTAACCGATCCATTTATGGCTTGTACTGTATGACAGAATTACGATATTTCAATCTAAATGAAACAGTGTGTAGGTAAACGAAAAATTGCAATGCGATTGCGAGAAGAAAGAGTATACAATGAAGTGTGTCAATTGAAATAACGAAATAGTGTTAAAATTGACAATTGAAAACTATTACAGGTACATTAAATATATTCACAGTCGTAAAGAATCACTTGGAAGTAATTTCCTTCTCTAGATTAGTTTCTTTTAATTTTGAGTACGATTGCATTCATTTTTCACGAAAACGCACTATTTTGGTGAGACGAACTTCACGTTGTTGATTATTCATTTTAATCAATAATAAACTCAAGAAAAAACACAACTTTTAGGGAAAGTAATTACAATCCCTTCAGATGTAGCGAGACGGATGTTTTTACAAGCCAATACAACTGAAACAAAATAATACTCATATCTTTTGGCCGATGCATTGAATGAAATGAGTAATGAATGAAAAATGTTAGCAAGAGTAATAAATCCCTACGATTTCGGCTTTCAGGCTCGTCTGCCAAATGCAATACCAATGCCAAATATTTATCATAAAATGCCATACAATGCCAAATATTTATCATCACACAGACGAGAAGCGAAATATTAAAGCTATCAAGGCACTCCGAGATGAAAAAGATGCGGCCGGTCGTCAGCCACGGCTGTGCAACGTGCTCCACCGCAAAGCGTCGGATTTCCCTGAGCGACCGCTGCAGCAGCGTCGACGGTGGCAAGTGCGGAAGTGTGCGGTGGCGCCGGCGACCGCGAGATCGGAGCCTTGACCCCGGCGGCGGCGGCGGCGGCGGCGGCGGCGGCGGCGGCGGCGGCGGCGGCGGCGGCGGCGGCGATGGATGACACGGCTGCGCGGAGGCGGCGGCGCCGCTGCGTACGCCAGGTGGACAACACACGCCACGGAGATACGAAGACCTTGATGGAAATGGAGATGGAAACAGAATGTGGGAAGGAGTTTTGATTAGATGACCGCACGAAAAGTTCTTGAAGTCAGAGAAGTTGTCGAATGATTTGAATACATTTTTCATTAGGTTTCTTCAGATATTCGAGTGTATGTAGTAAACCACAATTACTGCACCGCTGCATAATTCTTTCTGTTGCAAGGATTGTAACACGTGGATTCTTGCTCAAATGAAGCCTTCTTTTTATGGATCACTGAATGTTCTATAGTCTGACAGAAAGGGGAATGTTCAGTTAGATTTACCAGCTACATTAGATACGCGGTGGGTGCATTAGGTAAAGAAGTAGGATACTGAGGGAAGGTGACGCTTTGTGAGGGGAAGATGAACCAGCGAGACAACAACCAAGCGAGACGAAGAGCAGTGAGGGGCAGGAACCGAAGGCCGCGTCGGCGGCGGTGGTTGAGACGATGGTGACTAGAGCAACGGCAAAGGCGACGGAGGCGGTAGCCAAGTGGAGATGGATACGGCAGCTGAGGCAGAACCGGAGACGGGTGATGGCAGCGGCGAGGGAGTAGTAGTAGGAGTTGTTCGGGTCGAGGGCGAAGGACGAGTGTGTGTATGTGTATGTGTGTATGTGTATGTGTGTGTATGTGTATGTGTGTATGTGTATGTGTGTATGTGTATGTGTGTATGTGTATGTGTGTATGTGTATGTGTATATGTGTATGTGTGTATGTGTATGTGGGGAGGGAGAGACTTTTGCGTGCACCGCGAGTGGCCAGACGCAGCGTGTGCGACCTTGAGGGTCCTTGCGAACCTTACAAAACGCTTCTTCGCGCACGGCGTGTTCGAGTTATGGTGCGCACAATGGGGCTTTATTGCTTTCGCTGCCTTCTAGTTTCGAGTACTTCAGAGCTCTCACGCGAATTACGTGATTACTATAATTTTAGTAATTTACTTAGATCAATATTTTTGGCAATTGACATTCACGGCAGTGCTGCTGAGGAAATTGGTCATGCTTACAACAGCAATTGCGGAGTCGTGCTCAATCTACGTGAAAAATGAGAATCATAGGCAAGTGGGGTTGTAGGGAAACTTTTGCATAATCACTGTCTGCCGTTCTTTTAAAAGGAACTTAAAAGCAGCCATATCTCGCACAAATGGAATCTACTGTAACCTAGGATACAAGTAGATTAGTAATGTATAATAATTATTTTTTTCCTTCTTAGGATTGATTAAGTTGAAATGAAGTGTATGTATGTGTATCAAAGCTAGAATGTTTGCAGAAATATCCTTCGGCTATAGCTCAAAATCACCAATTTGTGCGTTATTTTGTTCGATTTTCTCCCCTGGAAAACACCGGTTATTTCTTTTCCTTATACGATATTATTATAGATCTTCAGTCGCGGGAACTGTTTTTAGAACAAGATAGATGGCAAGGATCAGAGCCCTACAATTAACTCTCAATATATTGAACAATTTCACCGAGAACAATAGGTGCTTTGTGTGCTGATTCTGTAATAATTCAGTTCGTAGGTAATCTCTGGGGAATCAAGCATCACGCTGTTTGCCTGTTGTAATCTGACCTTCGTTGGGTAGCCTAGAAAAATTCAATTCGTATATAATAGTAGATCGTTTAGAGAAAATTGTAGATACAGCTTGGGATCAATCTAATCTTGAATCAGTTTCTTGTATAAGTGGAAACAAATTGCATAGACGTTAGAAAAACACTTCAAGAATTTTTTGTACAGTTTAATATCATTTTGCATAATGGCGTGTAAATTATAAGAAGAAAATCGTAATTTATGACAATAAATTGGAGATTTACAAACATTACAAAGAACTTTTAGCATAGGTAATTTGGAATGAAATATTAGGAACTGTGCAAATATTAGACTGAAATAACACTTGAACAATTCTTAATAAATCAAATAACATTATACTTAGATAGATGACCAGAAATATAGTGATAAGAAGAGAATACATTCTTTAGAAAAGTAGTCAGATCCTCAATTCTACATCTACGTAAACAAACATCACAATTATTTGTGATATATTCTATCTTGGTATGGGACCTTTAAATTCGGACAGTATTGGAATATAATGTTATTCAAATTAGTGTTGAATTCATTCTAAAATTATTAATTTTTGGCGGCATTAAAATTTTAAAATCAGATGCGTAATGATCTACATTTTGGCAACTGCAGTCTTCAGAACGCAACCCGCTAGACAATGTCAGATCTGAAATGAAGAACTGATTGCTCAATGTGTCAAAATAATATAGCCCTATGTACATGTAGCTTGTGCACGAATTGAAGGATTTCCAATTTATGACAATTCGACATGTATCTACTTCATTTATTATTTTCAAAAATGATTTCTATATTTGATTTTTGCATCATTGGAATGCTTCATTGAAACAAACATGTAAAAACGCTGTTAAAATGTTCCTCGTAAATATTAAAATTGAAGGAATTACTGACATTATTGTCGAATGAATGATGAATTATTTTAACACAAAAAGTATTTGAACTATGAAATCGGTGCCTTCTCTCAAGAAACGTGTCTAACGGAGTATTAGCCCGTGTTGTCAATTTAATGCAATTAAATTCCTATTTTGTGTCTGACCATCATTAAATGTATAAATGTTCCCTTTTCATTCAATTTTTTGTAAATTTTGTGCATTTTCAATTTGGAACATTGGTACCAGGTATCTTCTATGAATCCTACGACCAATGATAATGCAAATTATACTCACCCCGTATAATATATAGCATTGAATTTCTTATATCGCTGTGTAACAGAGTGTTTAAATAACTCCTAAATTCGGTGACATTTATCAATCTCACATTGGCATGGAAGAGAAAAGTTTTGCAACAGCAACTACCTAAGATAATTGGATTCAAATATCGTAAAAATTGTATTTCTTGCTTGCATAGACCGATCGTTAGTTGCGGAGAATAAATAGAGGATTTTTGATTTGTTGCTCGTTAAATTTACTAAATATTGGTAAACGATACACATTTTAAACCTCTTCTTTGCACATTGTGTATTTAGTATGCGAACTACGCATTTGCATTTTCTTCAAACTTGTAACTGCCACAAAGGTAAAATGAATCGTTATCGAGGACTTTGTCTATTGGTGAATTTAAACAATTTTATTTTTATATTTTTTTTTGTTATCATCATTGATTTCTCGTAAATACCGTACCGTAAACACCGTAGTACATAGTTTATTATCTCCTTTCTTCCTTCTCCCGCTGTTCCTTCCAAACCATTAAAAAAAGCCTTTCTCATCTGGCTCTGGAGATACCTTTCGCCATATTCAATTTTATGTTTTCTTGAATTAAGTTTAAGTTCTTGAATTAGTTCTATAATTTATTCGATCTTTACTCATTCATTCCTTGACTCTTTGACATTGAGATTGTCTTCTCCAACTTCTGGAACGTTTTCGCAAGGATTGCCTCGAATATCAAATATTATATCAACGTTCGCATACCTACGTGATTCTATGCCGTACCTCGAACAACACCCAACTTGCCTCTTTCTCAGTTCTCGATTAGTACCGCGACGGAGCAGTGTCTCTGCAACCAGCTATGGACCTTTGGCAGTCTGCGGTATACACTTCTATCATGTATGAATTTGAGAATAAATACAAAACAACATATTTTACAGAATATAAAATTGCCCCGTTTGAAGGAATTGTTAAATAATACTAAACTGCGATTTCTAACAGTATTGATACAAAGCTTTCACTAAAAAGAATTCTTAATTTTTTGCTGATACATTAATCTTCAAACGATGATGCATGAAAGAAAGGAGGAGCCGATGCAGAATCAAGGAAAATTTCTCAAATCTTTAGTACCTAAATTACATAATTAACTTTATTTCTTTGTTTGAAATCTTTGCTTCAGGAACTACTGTTCTTTAATTCTTAAATATATCCTCTGAAATGATTTCTGTATGTTGCCCACAGGTGGACCCGCAAGATCTTCTGGACGGGCTACCGCCGGGAGTTGGAAGAAGCTGATCTGTACAACCCTATGCTGGAGGACCAATCCGAGGTCCTGGGCGATCGTCTTGAAGGGTGAGTATCTTCATTGGTGAGATAGATCTTCATGTAAGCCCCAAAACGCGTTGCTTATTCGTAAGCCGAACATTGAAGCCGGATTCAAAGGGCGAATGGCAAAGGTGGTGCCTCCGAGATGTTGCTTGAGCTTAAAAAGAGAATTTGTGTAAAGTAACTCAGATACCTATTGTCATTTTCTGCAACTAAAGAATACAAAATTTTAATTATATTGGATCAAGAATTTTCTCTGAAGATTAAAAAATATCCTGATGGGGCATTTTATGTTTCATCACCGATTTCATTTGAAGGACGGTGGGAGGGACGGACGGACGAACGGAAGGACGGAAGGAGAGAGGGAGGGAGGGACGGACAGACGGACGGACGGAAGGAGAGAGGGAGGGACGAACGGACAGACGGACGGACGGAAGAGGAGAGGGAGGGACGGACGGACGGAAGGACGGAAGGAGAGAGGGAGGGAGGGACGGACGGATGAAAGGAGAGAGGGAGGGAGGGACGGACGGGCGGACGAAAGGAGATAGGGAGGGTCGGACGGATAAAGGAGAGAGGGAGGGACGGGGGGGACAGAAAACGGCCAGACATGGAGACAGACGGGCACACCGACATTTGTCGTCAATCGATTTTTTTGAATCAAATTTGCACAAAACGTAGTTTCCGACTACTAGGAACCACAGTAATCACAGTTTTTGTTACCAGAACCCGGCAATAAGTTTTCTTCTGTCAAAAATTCGCCTTTATCCGGCACACGATGACAATCGTTTTTCCTCAGACGAAGCAAGGGCGAGAAAGTCATAAAAAAATCTAGTACCCCTTCGTTGCAAGGGGCGTGCCCCGGCGTGCGCTGATGGCGCGTGCGCGTGTTGCAGGACGTGGCGCGCCGAGGTGGCGCGCGCCAAGACAACCGGCCGCATGCCCAGCCTGCTGCGCGCCATCTTCCGCGCCTTCTGGCTGCAGTACCTGCTGTTCGGCGCGGTGCTCGCCGTGCAGTGTCTCGTCATCAGGTGAGCGGCACGCGGCTACTTCTACTACAGTTTACGGCTTCGTTATCCGTCTGCGTGCGTGATGCTCTCGTATATCGTTACGGACGGAGGGACGTGACTGAGGTTAAAGTTTGCGAAGGAACGTGAAGCGAAGAAAGACAGAGGAGAAATCATGGAAATAAATTGTCTTCAGCAGCTCGAGGAATAAATCTTGTATATAAGATACATTTTCAAAATTAGGGGATGCTTATTTAATACTAAAAAACCGTGTTTTATTTATTCTTGTATACATAGAGTTTTGTGCTTAGTAAATATATCTTTTACATAAAGATAGTTGCATATAAAAACATACGCTTCCGAGACGGAATAACTGGAATCTTATTTGTCTAGGAGATGTCACTTAGAGAAGCATAGTTGCATACGTTTCAAGCGACATTCATCCGACCTTCGTCAGGGCTAAATCCACAGCATTTAGCACTGAAGAAAGCAGAATATCCTGGACCCATAATATTTCGATATTATTTTGTATTTTATTACGCATATTTTCTGAGAAGAATACAATTCTGAAACATTTACACCCCCGAATAATAAGAAAATGCTAATAATTAAAAAAAATATACTAGTGGGGCTTGATTTCCTTTCCAGGTTTTTTACAATATAAATTAAAATATACAGCGTTTCTTTGATTGTAATGGACATCTGAGGAATCTGAATTGTAATCATAAATTGTGCACTGCTTACATTACCTCTGAGTGATTTCAATGCGTGAATTGCACATCGCTGTGCATGCCCGTGCGTGTGCGCGTGCGATCGCCGTGGACTCGCCCGCGTCTGTAGCGATTAGGCACGCTGTCTTCTCCCCCTCCCCTCTTCTCCTCTTCCCTCCTCGCTTCTCCTCGTCTCCTTGCCTCTCCTCGCTCGACTCGTTCTGGTGGCGGGCGACTCGCCGCTTGTTGTGGCCGCTGTTCGCAAAGACGGTGCGCCGAAGAAAATCCTCTCCGCCACTGTGTCGCAGAGGCCGCAAGTGGCCTATTTCCAACGGAAGCAAACAGAATCATGACTATTTTTGAGAGGTTTGGCTGGATGTTGATGAGGAAATTTTATTTTCTTTATTGGAGTGTGTGGCGGATAATAAACTGATGAATGTTTTAATAGGGATATGTATTTAGTCTGCGTCGTCTGCAATTTTCCAAAATATTTTTCTAATCTTGCTCGCCTCGGTATCTTTGCATTTATTTAAAATTTATGTTTTTAAAAGATACGCCCTTTTGAGTGTTTCAATTCAAACGAAGAGATCTTGATTTACTTCTCGTTACACTTCAACTTCCTGTTCATTCCCTTGTATATGACTTTTTTATTCAAATTTTCACGCAAACATAAAAAATATCCCAAAATGTACCGACATCCGTTTGGAATTCTTTTCTTGCCTGACACAGGATTTTCCATAACGTATGAACCCCCAAAGAACTGTTCAATATGGAATACTATGAAACAGAGAATTAAATTCGATTGGTGTTATTCATTTTATATATTTGCAGCTGTTGCATCTGCTTTGCTCTCCTATGTTGTCTTAAAAATGTAAATGATCCAAAAATTAATAATGTTAAATTCAAACGTAACGATGGAAAATGAATTCAAAGAATTAAATGTAACGACGTAAGCTCATAATGCATTTAACTATTCTGTAGAAAAAACAAAACAGATTTTTTAAGTGTTTGTGATACTTTGCAGAATCCAAACTTCTTGCAAAGTTTATTAGCTTATCAAATCCAAAGTGTAATTGTAATTAATGATGTAATCCTACCAATAAGGAAAGGAAGAAAAATAGTCCTTTTGTGCGGCAACAGCGCCTACTTCTTCTCCACGTGTTGGTTTTCTTACGCAGAGGTGTTTGTGCTTGGTACGACGCGTAAACGAGACACTTGCAAAAACCGGTCAACCTTGCTCGAGCTGTGCCAGCTGCCGGCAAATGAGAAAGATTACATCTGCAAGGGCGATGCTACTGCCAATACGATCGAATTTGTTTATTCTCTGGAGAGATTACGAGGGCAGCGCCTAATGGAGGAAAAATCCTGCATGTAATGACTTCTGTTTTGATGATTTTTGACAGCTTGTTTTCCTCAAAGTTGAATGAAATGACAGTACAAGATTATATAATAATCCTTAACAATTTTTATACGAGCTCCTATAGTTAAGAGCGGTTTCGCTCGTACCTTTCAAAAGGCCTCAGTGAGTCATTAAGATTTCTTTCCGCCTCGGGATATATAAAGCGTGATTGTGAATAAGAGAACACGATAATAGATGTTGCTTTCATACACGATTTCGCATCGCATAATTACTATTTAATTCAAAATTAAGTAATTTTATCATTTTTTCATTTAAAAGCGTGTGTTTTCTACTGTAATGTCAGAATTGTAATATTCTTTGCTATCATTACTTTTTGGTTGTAGCACCTAGATCACCCACCTTAAAAAATAAATGCTTTTGTTTCAACTGAGTTTTCTGAGTACGGACGCTCTTACATTAATTACTTTTCTTTTCTTTCATCACCTTCTTCCATTTATAAAATCACTCAGTACTATTTGAAGGCGCACCTCCGTCTGATTGCCGATAGAAACGTTAACGGCATATGGGAGATGTGACTGGATTTGCAACAAGTGAAGCAATGACGTATTTCGTGAACTATTTGAAGTGACCTAGATGCAATGCACGAACCTCGACAGGTCAGACGGTGAGCACTGCACTTGGTTTCTAATGTATGTGAAACTCATGTCCTAGTAACTTTTGCAATTATTACTAATATGTTTCAAACAAATAGCATGGCAAAGTGAGTTGAGAAACCTTTTGAAGAACGTTTTAGGTCATCTCATGGTGATAGATCTTTACGATTATATTGTTGATGAAATTGAGAACAACTGCGTGGGCATCATACAAATAAAAATATGGCAATAATGATGATGATAATAATAATAACCATAATAATAATAATAATAATGATAATAATAATAATAATAATAATAATAATAATAATAATAATAATAATAATAATAATAATAAATGGTAAGCCTGATACCAAAACTGTGAATATTTCAGCTAAAATGGTTTTCAAAGTATGACATTTTAAAAACAACTAGAATTCAAGAATTCTTAATTTTAAGTGATTCTAAGAAACTAACTCTAAAGTCCGGTATTAAATAAACACAATGTTTGTTGCTTCATCCTAGATATTCTTTGATTAAAAATGTAAACTTGGAATGACGATTACCAAAAATATATATTTGTGATTCCCAATTCATTGAAAAACGATCTCAAAGTTTTATTACACGTTCCATAAATGCATAAAAGTCTTCCTTGACTTCGTTTCTCTCCTTTACAGAGGAAATAAGGCGGGTAATGTATGTAAATTTCACGCGTATAGAATTGCGAAAATGCACGAGCGTGGCTTTTTAATGCCAGGGCCGCCTCGGGTGGCAAAAAGTGGCAGTTCGTCATTCGGATATCGTCGCTCTGACGGCAGCGCCGTGGTTGCGGCAGAGCGCGCGTGGATGTGGGGTAAGGTCAGCGGCCGGCTGGACCCCGAGGAGAACAGGCCGCGTCTCCGGCACCAACGGAAGCTGGGATCATTTGGATTTTGATTAATTTCTTTGGGGAGCATACGTGTTAGGTAAAAGTACCAATAGTTTCCATTGTTAAGAACTTTTCTCATAGCTTTCTTAAAATGCTTGGGTTTTAATAGTAAATGGGTTATGTGAAAGTCAATAATAGTTAACTCTCCATTTTTAAAAAAAATCATAAAAATTGAAAATTTCAATTTGTTGATTTTTTTATTAATATATTTCTATATTTCGATTTTGATTCATAATTTAATAATTATTAAATTTTGGTGTTGGTCAGATACTTGACTCAGTCATTCGATGTTCCAACATCTGAACGTGTTTGGGAAAGTTTAAGGCGAAAAACGTACCAGTTCATATTATATCATTGGAACAATACTAATAATATTTTATAACATATTTTTATATATAAAATGGGAAAATAAATAATATTCGTTCTACAACACTTCTCTAGGAAGTATAATCTCGAAAATCATAAAAAAAAAACGATTACAATAAAGTGAAATTTAGAATATTGATTGTCTAAAATTTAATTTAGAAACTTACATCAAGAAAACAGTTCGATAGTTTACAATGTCACATTAACAGTATTCGTTCCATCTTTACATCGAACGGTATCTTTGATACCACTGGGAAACAACACAGACCTCATTCTGTCATTTGTTTGTTACGCTTGTCCTTTCTGCTAATTCTGCCACCTATAGTAGGCCTGTCGTTCTTCGCAACTCAACTCCCAGCATTATACGTTCATACTTGATGCCTCCTAAACGATATCATGCTTAGACACCGTTTTCGAACATCTAGGTTCTGGCATGGGCTAGGCTTGCAATTTGCCTTCTGTCATGTGTCAATCTGGGTCCAATTTCGAAAATATTTTCACCACTTCTAAACAAATTATTTCACTTTTTCAGTAACTTCGGCTTACTATATTGATGTCATTGCAGCGCCTCTGACCAGGAGATTCTAGGGTTTCAAATCCCAAAGTTGGCAGAATTTTCGCCACTAGCTAGACAGCTAGGTCGAGTTCAGCCGCCGACGGGAGGAGAATTCTAGGGCCAGCTGAACTGATCGGTAGTTTTCCGTGGTTTCTTCGAAAACACCAGGTGAATGCCGGAACAGTACCCTAACAAACCGGCCTCGAAGCCCATGAAGGGGAAGAAAATATTTCGGAAGGTCCGCGGTCAGTTTGTTAGTGTACTGCTCCGGCGTTCGCCTGGTGTTTTCGAATAAACCACGGAAACCTACCGATCAAATCAGCTCGCCCTAGAATTCTCCTCCCGTTGGCGGCTGAACTTGACCTAGCTGTCTAGCTAGTGGCGAAAATCCTGCCAACTTTGGGATTTTCTTCCGTATATTCCGGGAATAAACTTCCGCATATTCCGGGATGCCAGTTGGGAGTTTACAGCT